AGAGCGTTTGTTTGAACTCACCCTTTATTCATTTGAGACTGAACTGGGTGGGCCATCTGAGTCCCAATCCATACCATCTATCTTTAGGCACATAACAGAGACCTTTTTTGAGGAATATATCATCAGTGGGGAGAAATTGGCAATTCCCAAAGGCACTTCAGATCTCAGAAGAGCTCTACTGCATTTCAGAGGTGCCTGGCTCCCTCCACCAGTTGTACAGGCAGTCAGGGGCAGCTGGGCCCTTTGCTCAATTAAATGAAGTGGGATGGAAAAATATGCCAGTACCCTAAACCTCTGCAGTTAAGGTTATTCTGAGAGCAACATGGCATTGAACGGACAGCAGAGGGTACTGAAGAGACAATTTATGTGTGGAAATGAAAATTAAGAATACAGAAGCCTGTTTGATAGCTGGTGCAGAAATACTGAGAGTACAGAGTGTGGAGCAAATGAATGGTAGTTTCTGTCATGTCATGCTGGGACTCTGAGGCTTCCTGACCAAAACCAAGAGTGTACCGAAGGAGTATCTTGTGGGACAGAGTGTTCGTTCTCTCTGATCCCAGTTTGCACAATGTACTAATGTTTTCACACCTAGGTTCTTCAAGCAAGGCTGGAGTATTTAAACCAAGATACATCAGCTCATATCTGCTCCTGAAGAGAGCAGGCCAGTGCTCTGCACTCCCTCATTTTGCCCTGCTTATTGCTGCTCATTGCTGCCAGGGTGCTCAGACTAGGGAGCAGCACTTGAGCACTTTCTATATCACCTGAAGGCAAAGCATCTGGGATAACTTGGATCAGCCATTAAAACCATTTAAACTAACCGTGCTGTTCTCCTTGGCAGCAACTGGCATGAGGTTAGATGCTCTGTGATAACAGGTAATTCCCTCTGGGAGGGAGGCAGGAACAAGAGGCAGTAACCTCTTCCAGCTTCTCAGCCAGTTGCTGCAAGCTGATGTCTGTCCGTGCACTCAATATTTCTTCCTGCATGTAACAGCAAGCCATAGTTAGTAAACCAGGAGATTAAGGTGATGTTCTTGGCTGTGCTGCAGTCTTTTATTGCCTGTTTCTGGGATTCTCGATCTGTAAAATGGAGGGATTAGAAGCAAAAATTCATTTAGTAGCATTAAAAAAAAGGTTTTAAATTCTTGGGTGGAAGCAGAGGAGAAAAATCCACTGCTACTGTCACAGCTCAGATGCAGAGAGGATCCTGTCATTGTAAGACATTGCACTATGTCAAGTATGGCTACTAACACACATTAGATTGCATCCATGTGGGCAGGAGCAGATAGATTCGTGTGCCTGCCACTCCTACTCTAAACAGGCTGAACACAAAGCCAGCTCTGGCCCAGACGTGCTTAGTGCCCTGTTAAGTTTACCACATCCCCTCTACTAAATTTGTTACCTAAGGCACAGTGCTGTGCTGATGCAGCAATGCAGTATCACATCTGACTGGGTATAGTTTCACAGTGTGGGACCTCTGGCACCAGTATGTGTTTAAAGAGTCCCTGTGCCCCCTTGTCCTGCATACTTGCTCCCACACTTCACAGCCCTACCCTATCACTTGGGCTGACAACTGTTTCTGTAGCTATGCTGGAGACTGGATCAGCAATCTGATCTGGTTTTAAAACACATTTCGCCTCTTTTTTTTTTCTTTTGTTGCATTTTTCAGCATTGTCGACTGGGCAGTCATTATAGTGTGAAGATGGAATGAATGCCAGCAAGGAGGCAGAGCACAGGCTCCTTAAGCTTGTATTGTTATCGAAGTCCTTAACCCCTTAACTCACTGCCCCTATGTGTGAGCATGGGGCATATGGGCTTGTCTGCATCCATCTGTTTTGGCATTCTCTGAGTTACATGGATGCTTGGAATACTTTTTAATTTCCAAAGCATGAAAATTTTGTATCTAAATCTGCTGAGGATCATGTTTTATTACCTGACATGCTGAGTGGTGAAGAGCACGTAGGTCCAAGGGGACCAACTAGAATTTAAAATGGCGCCTCAAAACAAAGATTAAACTGCCATTCCTGTGGGACATCAGTACAAAGTGCAATTTAGTATTTTTAAGGAGCCAGGGATATTCTTTAAAGCCATCATTACTGTTCTGAGGCTGACTCCCTTGGGCTGTCTGTGGCGTGGAAAGAGAAAGGTGATCACCTTTAACTGTGATGCTGAGCAGAAGCCCAGTTTATCTACTCTAATCTACCTTGTGGAAGAGTCTGTCTCTCCACTGGTGATGAAATGAGACTAGAGAGTCAAGAAGCTAAAGCAAAAGCTGTGAAAGTAGTCCTTATGAGCCATTCACAGTCCAGGAGTTAGAAGTTTTCCCTTAAGTTTTAAAAATGTGCTGTAACTCCATTTGCAAGGTAATTGCATCCCGAATGAAATGAACTGAGATATGGAGAACCACAAAAGATAAGTATCCTGTTAATAGGAAACACTTCTGTACTGCTTTTCGGGGGAGCGGGAGAAATATTAAAGGCCAAATGATCTGTGAATCTGCTACAAGAAGGTTAGAATAAAAAAAAAGAAATAAAGCCAAAGCAGAAAAAAACGAAATTAAAACCTTTGAGAACTTGCCACACTGCTTTGCTTAGCTTTTTCCCTGGGCAGTTTCCCCTTCCCTTTCTCTTTTCTCCTTTCCTGTCCTCATAGGTCAGCAAGACCTTTTTCCCCAGAAAGCTGTGGCTTTGCATATGTGAGGTGTGGGAACTGTATTCCTCCCAGAGCAAACGGGCCATATGAAGAAAATAATGAAGTCTTCTATTGACCTGTAGAGGAAAATGATAGGAATGAATCAGTATTTTTTCATCACTGATACTTTTCAACATTTAGCAACTTTGTTTTCCTTCTGTTCAGATATTTTTCCTTGTCTTTTACATGTCTTTTTTGTGTTTTATGCTAGCACTAGATAATGAGAAACCCAAGCTGGCAAATCACCTGAAAATTCTCCTGAGGGACAACGTAGAAAATTCCCTCTCTTGCTCTTTCATTCTGTCTGTGTGCACATATGGATATGTAAATCAAAACAATGATGTAGTGATTATGTAAATCCATGAATTGATTGCCTGACAATCAGCAATGCCTCCCGAGTATTTAAACTAATTTATTTTACATTTGAAGAAATTCTTCTTTACTGTATATACATATCAGACATCTGATCAAAATACAATGAAATACTTGACTGAGGAGGAGGGAGGACATAGAAGTAGCAGCACGTGCTAATTGCTATTTGGTCTTTTTTGGCTGAAAGAGTTTAGTTTTGAGATTTGAATAGATGAGTTCTTTTGGGACCAATAAGATAGTAATAATGCATGGAAGGCAGGCAAAGTGAGGTAAGAATTCTGGAAAATTAGTGTAGAACCCAAAGGGGAAAGCGGGGAAAAAAGCCATTCATATATAAACTTGGATTATCACACTAGCAAAGTAAGTATAGACTAGTGATGGGTGACACGTCTCCTACCACATTTGTTAATTCCATAGGTTCAAATGACAGCTTGTGTCACATACTACCGCAATTTAACATGTATCTTAAGTCTCAGAGCCAGCAGCTGCTTTGTTCTGTAAAAGTTGCCCCTGGATTCAGGCAACTTCTAAGTAGCAGAGCGACTCCATTTTCTGCTGGCACCTCTACTGGCATTTGACGTTAAATTGAGGAAATTCCTCCTGCTCCAAGTTCCTCCTGCTCCTTCCCCAGAACACTAGTGGGCCCCCAGGCAGCCACAGCTGCTCCACTTTTTGAGGAAGGCTGGAGGTGACTTTCAAGCAGGAGAGCAGCTGGTGCCTTCCCCGCTCCACTGCTCTTTTGGTGTGAGGTGACTGGAAAGGCAGTCTGCAGTTCCCCTCTCTCATTGTCCCACCTCCTCCCCTTCCAGTGCTGGACCCTCCTTATAGTCTCACTACGTTCTTCTGAGTCTCTTACCATTCTTGTCAGATTGATTTGACATTATCATCACACTTAAGTGATCTGGCAGTACATTTTTTGGTGTTCAGAAATTTAAGTGGTATCACTGTTCATATTACAATGTAGGAGCACTGGATTCTGACTTGGCTTGTGGAAGGGGCTCCCGTGTATGTGTGAGAAGGGTTGGAGAAAGCATCTTCCTAGTCCCTTGTGTTGTAGGTAGACTCAAGCAGTCTTGAAACAAGTTGAAACTCCAGAGGTAAAAAAATCCTATATTATATTAAAGATACATAAATGTGCATAGGCATCAGAGCTGTAAGACATTACAACCTCATGGCCTTGTTTCTGAACTGCTTGGCAGGAAGCTGTGTAGCATAGTGTCAGGAGGTACTGTGTCTCACGAGCTGTTCTTCGTATCTAGTCTGTACTGGCACTATAGGTAATATTCTCAAAAAGGTCTAAATAGCATAGGGGGATTTCTGAGTACCTTTTTATTAAAAAAATAATACTGTTAATGTCCTGTAGTTTCTTAAAATTTGGGGTAAGACCATATTTTCTTCAGTTCCTTTGTGTTTGAAAACAGTAAGGCTGATATTGTTGAAACTTTAAATAAGCATTTCCCCTCAGTCTCTCTCTAAAAAAGTCAGCCTAAAAGATGAAGATTTGAGACAGTTGCAACTACCTGGAGAGGAGCCTTTTAGCATGGAAGTGACTTTAACCTCAGTAATCTTCAGTCCTACTACCAGGGTAGCACAAGCATGAGTTTGTTGAAAAATGAACCCAGATGAACTCTGTGTAGATAAAGAGTTATGGTAGAAGTATAACAAATTTATTAAATACAACATATTATTTATAGAAGTATATGATTAAAATAATAGAAAACAGAAAACGCATTCTAAATACTACTATCTCTTTTTTTACCTTAGAAATTGTTGACGGCAATGTGAAAATGACTCTGGGTATGATCTGGACTATCATCCTTCGCTTTGCTATTCAGGATATTTCAGTGGAAGGTAATAGTAATGCAACTATGTAAAATAATCAGGAAATTTGTTTAAAGACATTTTTATATGAATTGTACACAAAGGAGATGAGTGTTTTAAAAATGAATTCTTTTTTCACGGAAAATGATACTGCAAGTTCCCTCCCTGGTGACAAAATTGATTTCTGGAGGGAAACAGTAATTACTCTCCTTATCCTGAGAGAGATCTTGAGCCAGCTTTCTAAATGCAGAAGTCCGGGGCATGTCTCTCAGTTATAGAGATTTGAAACATGCCTGTGTTTCTGAGCTTCAGTGGCCTGAAACTATGCTGTACCCTATATGGTGGTCCTATTTCCAACATACTTTTTCAGTCCTGTCCATTTCTCACATTCTTTGAAAATATTATCTGATTATACCCCTCTTTTTTCTATCACTTTTTTCCCCCCACTGCTTCAGAATTTTTTCTCTTAACTTTCACATGGTAACTGGCTCCAAAAAGTGTGTTGTAGTTACAGTACTCTTTAAATCAAGTCTATGCTGTGAAAAGTCTAGAATTCTAGAAACTAATCTCAATTTTCAACAAAAGTAGAGTCAATTCAAGCTCTGCATGCTGTCCTGCCCATAATTTGTGGGACATTAAATGTGGACCTAATGGTCTATTTGATCTTTTCTATCCTTTATTTATGCATTCAGATGCCCATAGGGTTCAGATAATGAAGGTATTTCTTCAGCACTTAACGCTTCCCCATAAGCAAATGGACTGACACTACATGCATATTTCATGTAGGCACCAACACAATCTTTTCTGTCTAGTTCTATTATATTTGTACTGGGTATTTTTCTCCAAATATACATTCTGCTGTCCAACCCATATAATTTCTTAAACTTCTGATATCCCAGAACTATTGTGCAGGCTGAGACTCTAGTCTGAGTTGTTCCAGTTGAGGTGACCTCTGTGTCCTAATGAAGCCCCATTAGTCCATTTGTATGAGTATCTTTTAGGATTACATGTTGGCTTGTGCCAACCAGTTTCAGGTGGCTGACCACGTTTAAGATGACAAGAAATTAATTGCTTGAGCACTTTTTACATTTTTCCTTTTTTTGCTCCCTGGTGTCCTTTACAGAGACCTCTGCCAAAGAAGGGCTGCTGCTGTGGTGTCAAAGAAAAACTGCTCCTTACAGAAATGTGAACATTCAGAACTTCCACCTGAGGTAAACTTCCATTATTTCAAGGGGTAGAAGCAGTCTAAAATATTTTAGGTCAAATTTTTCCCACAGTTGCGTAGATATATTTTTGACAGGAGGATTTCACTCTTCACTGTTAACTAGACTTTTTTCAAATTCAAATTCATGCTCCGTCTTCAGAGTCTTATTTTGGTTAGCATTTGGCTTATTTACCATGGCTTCCATAGTTACTGTTCAAAAGAAAAAAATCCATACTACATACAGAATGACCATATTACATTATTAGAGGTCCTTCGTATATGGGAATATCTGAGCACTGCAGCATAGTGACTTGGCAAATGAGAGCCACTGTAGGTATAGACTGTTCTTGGCAAAAATATCAATGTGCTGAGCATGCAAATATCTCATTATGATGAATCAGTCTTTATTATTTTGTAACGTAGCTGTAAATAAGGAGGCAAAAATGCACTCAGTACACAACAGCAGCACTTTAAACATGTTTGTTTTCAGAATCAGGATCATTACCTAAATTGGAAAATTTAGTGAAGCTCCAGCCTTGTAGTTCTGTGTTTTCATTAAGGGCTAGAAAGGGAGTTCCAGGCCATATGCAGGCTGCCTGGTTTGGGGATTTCACCGGGCTAGGTCCTGTAGCTCTGCCGGTGACCCACCTCATTCAACTACATGACTTGCCATTTGCACTGTTTAACCATGTGATCTTGCCTTCCCTGAAACCCTTTATAGTACTTACAACAAGAGCTCTGTATTACGGTGTTCCGGGGTTTTGAATTAATTCTCAATGTGCAGCACCTAAAGCACATGTAGTGATAGAGAAGATACAGTCCACACATGCATCCACAGAGAAAAAGAATTTGTTTGATTTACAGTCCCTGTACTGCCTTTAAGAGATCTGAAATTTGTTATGTGTTATTTTCCTTGAATATATAGAGGTATATTTCAGTAGAGCTTTATATGGATGCGGGGTATACTGTGAGTTACTTTATCAGAATCTTAGTGTGTATACATACATATTCTGCTCTGATACATGGTATGGGGAAAACATCTTGAATGGAAATACCTTGATTAATATTTGGGTTGATTGACTCTTACAGAACTACTTTACAATGGGCTGTCCAGACTGTTTTAGTCCATACCTTTTGGAAAAAAGCATTTTGTTAGTTTGGTGCTCATTTTGATTCAGTTTTACCTCCTGCATGTTTTTATATTATACAATGTATGTATATTCTGCTTAATTACATTTGTATTGGAGACGGTTCTGTTATTTGAAGGATCTACCCAGACATCTCAGTGACAGGGATTCTAACAGTAGTTAATACTGATTAGTATCACACAATTACTGCACAGGATAAGACCTCGAACCCGCAGTCCCAGTGATTGCATGACGTGTTTACATGAAGTATCTTTCAGAACAATTGCTTCTGGCTGAAATGAACCTCTCATAATCTTTCTAAATAGATGTTATTTGTAGCTCTGTTCATTGCCTATTCTTGCCTCGGAAGGTAGTGGGCCTGATGTCACACTGAAGTGTCAGAGCTCAGATAGAAGCTGTTGTATGTGTGAAGTGTTATAAATAAACTAAGCTGATTTATGACTTCATATTTCTATGAGCATAACATGGTTGTGCCATTAAAATTGTCTGAAATAACTGACACAGAAAAAGCCAATTGCTTCAGCAAATTCAAGTAATTGCAGGTTTGCTCTCCGTTTATTTCTTCGCAAACATGCTGTAAATGTAATAGGAGATTATGTACTTTCATTGATGAATGTGTACTCTGAGCTATCCTGGAACACTGCACAAATTAAGCAATTGAAATCAGGGACTATTGCACATGATGTACACTGCCTAGGAAGTATTATGGAGTCCTTAAGTGTGTATGGACTGTAGAGTAAGTTATGTACTACAGGAAAGTGTATAGTAACAGAAAAGCTCAGAGAGATGAGAGTTGACAGGACGCAAGTGTCAGCATTTGACAGGAGAGTTCCTGCTTGATTTTAAGCCTTAAGCAAGGATCAAACTGTAAAATACCATGACTTTATTAACTATTTTTTTCCATTCTATTTTTTGTTGTAAAGCTGGAAAGATGGCCTTGGATTATGTGCGCTTATCCACAGACACCGACCTGATCTTATTGACTACTCCAAGCTAAATAAGGTCATCAGTCTGGGTGGTACAGCATGCTGTCCTGCAGTGATTTGGCTCACTTCTGGTTTGCTTAGCATGTTTTCTAAGACACAAGCTGAGGAGTGCGTACTAACTCTGACTGGCTTTCTAAGCTCCCTCCAAACAAATGAGTGACATGGAGGAAAGGACCCCATGACTGTCCTGTGTCCTTCTTTCCTTCCCATTACAATGACTTCAGCATTTAATTGCAAGTAATCTGGTCCTCAGCTGCTAGGTAGTTGATGAAGTCTTTTATACTGCCCAATATGGATGTTAAATCAAATACACTGGAATTCACCATTCACCGCTGATAGTATTGTACAGTCCATCCTGTTTTGTATCTGGTGTAAATGACTAGATTGCAAAGCAGTAAACAATGAGATGATGATTAATCATAAAAGTCCTTGGAACAAACACTACCCTTGGCATTCAGAAGTATACAATAAGTTACTAGTCTTACATAGAAAATAATCACCAGTTCTTATATTATACTTCTACCTATACTTCCAGACAAGTGGAAACAAAACTGATATCCTGACTTCCTTAGGTAGTACCTCACGGGGATTACAAAACTATTTTATTACAGTGTGCTACTTACGGCAAATGCACATTTTCTAAAAGGTACCAGCCACTTTGGTTTGAGAGGTAGGAATGAGAAGCAAGTAATAATGTCAGAATTTCTGGGTGCCATTACTGAAGAATAAAACTTAGAAAGAAAGTGGAATGTTGTTTCACATTAGCTCTCAGTACATACGCACCATTTTCTGCTCTCTGGAATGAATGCATCTGGAGGTCTCACGTAAACACCAGTGAAACAGAGAAGTTAATCATGGTTTTAATTTGTTGAATGCAACTTTTCATTGATGAGAGAGACTGGTAGATCGTAGACTATATTTTCCATTTCATGCCATTCCATTACAAATTGGCTTTACTAGTGGAATCAACTGTTATCAGAAAGCCTTTGATGAGGGAAAAGATGAATGAATGAAATGAAATTATTGGAAAATTTAGTGTGCTTTATATATATGTTAAATGCATGCTGGGGTTCCCAGGGTATGCAGTGATGAAAATTAAATGAACTTATTCCTAAACACATAAGGTTTTAATTTAGGCAGTTGTTAAGATGACTGCAGATCTGAACCAAAGAGCAAAATATTAGCCATCAACACCAGCTTGTTCTCTAATCCTGTATATAACCTTTCCTACGGATAAACAGATTCATGGTATGACTAAGCTACCTGTCTCTGTGAACATGTGCTTAAGCATGGCACAAACAGAAGTTAGTTTGATTGAGTTCATGCTTTGAAAAGTGGTACACAGTACTAAAAAACTTCACAGTATAACCATCCTATATATGAGGGCTGAGAAAAGGGAATAGAACATCAGCAGATCTGCTTCAGCATTACTATTTCCCTCTGAGAGGTTTCCAAAATAGGAAAAGGTCAGGTTTCAAACTGAGGCTGAGCTGTGGCACGTAAAGCACATGCAGAAAAATCCTAAAATAGATCTTGCTTTTCTGGCCTGGCTGTGTTTGATTGACTGCTCATTTTGGTTACATTAACAGCTGTCTTGGTGTCTTGTTTCTTGGTTTCTTATCTCCTGCATGCTGTCCTTTCCTTTTCTCACCAATGTGTTTTGTGTGAACTTGTAGCTGGAAAGATGGCCTTGCTTTCAACGCCCTTATCCATAGACACAGGCCTGATCTTCTTGACTATGACAAGTTAGATGAGGTATTTCTTTAGCTGTAGCAGAGATTTTTAGTTACTGTGGCTTGTAGTTTTGTTTAAAAGGATGGGTGATGGAGATCTCCTCCAATTACTCAGAAGTTGCTGTGATTTTAAACAAATCCTTTACCAGTGGAGCACTGTTTACTCATGGACTTAGTACCAAGCACACAAATAGGAGGTGCTCATCATTCATCCATAAGCAAAGTGTTTTAACTTAGTCAATAGGTCTCACTTAGATTTAGTGTATTTTTCTCCAATTTAATTTCAGTAGGAGTTTTTGTATACACATTTAGTAAATGTTGTATTACACATGGTGTCTTGTGTAATAGTAAAAATAAGTTCATGGGTTTTAAATATTGTCCGCATTTTAAGTTCCTCTTAATGTCAATGATGCACAAAACTGCTAAATGATGATAGAGTGAGAACTTATGATTAGAGGCTTTGTATTCTATTATACCCAAATTGTTAGGTTTCAAAATGTAGACTCTTCTTCATAACATATTTTATTGAACATGCAGCTTTTAAAGGAAAGGCTATCTAGTATGATATGTTTATAGAAGGACGTGTCATGGGCATTACTACTTATGATACCTGGCATATGTATGTGCATGAGGAACAGACTTCTGTGAAACTCAAATAATTACTGTGATTCCATAGTAAGTAATCTTACTAATTTAATTTCAAAGTAACGAAAGAAATATGCTTGAGAGTAGATCCCTTTATAGGAAGTGTTTGTATTCAAATGGAAGCCCTGGAAATTCCCTACAGAAAACCTGTTAACGTTTTTTCAGTGCCCTCCAACATCTCTAGCTTTGCTCTTCTGTGTCCTATATTCCCAATCTCTCTCTGTAGACATTGGCATTGTTCAGAGTGGCTATGATCATTTAGCAGTTTGTGAATATGTGAAAATAATAATAGCATTAATAACATGAACTGCCATTTCACATAGGGTGTTTTCACTCCAAGCTGATACGGGAAGGCTGCCTTAAGAGCAGCCCTCATCTGACACGCTCTTCTGTTGTCAGCAGTAGCTGTCTGTAGTGTAAGACATGAAATACATGCTGTTTATCTGAACTGTGCTCACTGCTTCCTTTCTCTTTCCTTCAAAAACCAAAATCAAAATCTCAAACCCAGAGGAAGTTCTTGAATTTCCACAGCTCTAAAATTCGATTTATAGAGGCGTTACAGATTGCTCTGTCCAGGCCAAAACTGGAAAGATTTGCTCCTTCTGGAGAACTGATCTGTCTGTGCTTGCTTCTTCTCATGCGTGCACCTGACCAACAGAGACTCCATAGAATTCTTATCCCTGTAATATAATGTATAGTAGGTATAAAACATGCAAGACTAACTTTGTGATGAACAGTCTAGCATAGCCTACTGGACCAGTGGCCTTGACTGTACTTACTGCTGTATTTCATTCAGAATTAGCTCAGAATTATGAGTGTACATTATCTATGTTTCCCTGCAGAATACATTTGGAGCAGAGTCCTAGTGGTACATAACAGCTTATTAATGTTTTCTTTTGAAAGTATAGCAGTAGATAGACCAAAATTTCATATACCTATACTCTGCTTTTTGAAGAACAATAGTTATGACTCCAGTTTGCAGTTTGGAAAAACAGAATAAGTTTTAGTGTACCTCCTGTAGTCTTGCTTCAAGGAAAAACTTTTATCTTTGACTAGCTGTATTTTCTTCTTTAATGCAGGATGACCCCATAGGAAATATCAACCTTGCCATGGAAATTGCTGAAAAGCATTTGGATATCCCTAAGATGTTGGATGCAGAAGGTGAGAGTTATAGCTTACTGAAGTTTGTGTTACTTACACACAGGAGACAGTAACACTTCTTCTGTTTTGTACCTAGCAAATTTTCAACATTCCTTCCACGTGAATCATAACGGAGCAACCTGCTTTGTTTTCAAACAGTGTTTTCTTTCTTATTCCCCATGTACTAGATAATTTCACTTACTTTTTGCTTTATTCCTTATTGTTTGTTATTTATTATAGTTTGTTATTTATTATAGTACTTTGGACCCTAACCTCTGCACATGGCCCCACTGTGATAACTGAGGTGAAATGCAGGATCAAAAGATAATCCTTGCCTTTAAGAAATTAAAATCTAAATGTAATAAAGGGAAATACAACTGTTAGCAGCTTAAAGCATATTCACTTTTTAAAATGTTTAAGGGAAAGGGCCAGAAATGGAAATAGAAGTACAGAACTTTCAAAATATACTAACAACGTGCCTCCTATGAAAGAGAGCTAGGTTGAGGGAAGCATTTTTTTGGTTTATTTTAATCATAAACCTTTTGCAGTGATAGTTTTAACAAATAGTTTCACATTTGGTTTCTCCAATAATCTTTAGAGTTTGTTGACAAATAACAAGGAAATATTTATTAAAGTTTCCTGAATTTCTTCAAAGTAACCAAACTTTTGTACTCCAGGCATAAAATGGTGCCAAATTACTGGAATTTGCCCACACTTGTTCAAAGCATTCTTCTCCAAGTATGCAGAATCTGCTCTGGTGGCTTTTCTGTAGAGCAGTGATAACATGGGAGTTATCTAGAGAGCTCAAACTCAGTGTGTCTGCTCCCCTTGAAGTCTTTGGTAGGAAAGTTAGGCCAATACAGGATGATTTGGAAAATCCATGTTGTAACCTCTTCATTGAAGAGGTTTCTTGGTTTCACCTTCATGCTTCAAAACTAATTGGTTTCATTTTTTCAATTGCAATTCCCCTTTCAAGCACCACTTAATTATTTTACTCTGAAATACTGTGCAAGGAATAAACAGAAGTGCTACCTCCTTACCATTGAACAGATCCTACTATCATTCTCCTTTCCTCATTTTTTCTCTTCACATACGATGGAAGAAACGTCATTTTCCCCACCAGATTTTCTGCACATTCTAGCCCTTATCTTACTATTCTCCTTCTTGGCAGGGGAGGGGAATATGAAATCGTGCTTCTTGTAACACCCTCTAAGTATTCACCATCACTTTTTACTCTCTTTACTTTGCAAAGTTTTGTTCACAACTATGTGAAGTAGATGGAAAATCAGTAAATACATTGGTCCTGAACTTAGATATCTCGCTGTTAATATTAGAAATTGTCACCTCATTCCTGGGTCTTTTCACACCAGTATCTTCCCTCTCCTTATGTTGGCAGGAAACCTTGCAGCTTGCACTAGCATCATTCATCACTCAGCTGTAATTGGTGTAAACCCACCTTTTTCTGCCTTTCTCTGTTAAGTATTGAAAAGGTCCATTTTTACCAATGTACCCATGCCTTGATTGCACCCTTTCTATGCTTTTTCCTGCTCTAATAGGGACAAAGCTATCAGCCAAGCCAAACTCTTCTGTGATTTATGCTGTTAACTAAAAAGACTGACTGGCGCAGGGATTGCAAAACTGTTACCATCCAAGCTTTTCTTAGCACAAAATGTGTTTCTCGACTGCAGGAGTTCTACAGGTTTCCAATATATGTAAATACCCTGTCAGTCACAGGGATCCTGTGCTAATGTACACTGTATGCCCTCCTATTTTGTGGCTGTCAGTGGCTGTGTTTAACTCTGGAATAATTCTAGTCATGTAGATGAAGTTGCTTTGGAGCGAGAGTGAGGCTGAACCCAGTAGATCTGCCAGCCATGCCATCTGCTTGGAAGTTTCCGCAAACCAGAAGGTAGCAATACCCTTCTGTACAGTCTCAGCCTTCAGATGTTTTGCCATTTCAGGCAGAGTTGTATCTTTTCCATTTACTGATTCCTGAAGCTTATCTAGCTTTGCACTGATATCAGTAAATAGATGCAACCTGAATAATGATGTATTTATTTTGAATCCTTACAGCACTGAGGTGGCATCATCAGCATAATCTGATGGAAATACCTTGTGAGAATTTCTGAGCAGTTAACCCTCTTCTCTCTACACAGATGTAGTAAACACTGCCAGACCTGATGAAAGAGCCATTATGACTTATGTTTCCTGTTACTACCATGCATTTGCTGGTGCTCAGAAGGTGAGATTGTAGAAGATGGATCAGATCTCATCCTTCACCTTCTGTCTTGTTTCTTTCAGCAGTTTCTCCTCTTCTGATCTTTTCCTCACTAGTTACTAGGACAGCGTCTTAGAGCTGAGCTCATTTCCTGTTGCCTGATTCTCTCTGTGAGCCACTGTCTTGGTAGAGCCAGTAGTAGTCTATCCATTTGTTCCATAGAAACAAACCTTCCTGTCTCATCTTTCTGTATATTTACTGATAATATCCAGTAGGTTTTTGACAGCTTGTTACTGAATGGGATAGAGGACATTATTCTCTTTAACTGAGCTTGTGTGCATTCATTTGAAGCACTTTTAAAAATGCAAGAGGAAAATAAGCTCATAGTGAAAAAACAATTTCAATAGCAGAATGCCATCTTTTTTCTCCCTGCTGGATATTATTCCTGCTACAGATGTTAAAATCATCATAACAGATGCTCAGAAAATAAACCCTTCTCTTATGCTTTCAGGATTGTTTTTAAAATGTTAAATGCTTAATGGTAAGTACAAACAGCAACATAAAACGTTGCTACTATGCAAAATAGACACAAAAACATACATAGACATCTCAGAAGAGCTCTGGAATCATGTCCTAATGAAAAGAAGGAAAATTTTAAAAAGCAAGGCAGTTCAAAGTTGGACATATTTCAGGTATTAGTAATATAAAGAATACTGGTATATTCTGCTAAGGTTATAATTAATCCACATGCAACTTTAGAGAACATCTCCCTAGATCAAAATGTAGTCTGTCTTTCCTGTGTCTTAGTCAAAAAAACCCCACATTCTAAGTCACCAGACATATGCATGCCAGTTCTTAAGCAGATAGTCCTGGTAAAATTTTAATATGTATTGTCACTCCCACTGTGATAATACTGCAGGATCAAGCTTATTAAAAAAATTCCACCTCTTTGTAAGAGCTTATGTTGAATTTCTGGTGTATGTTTTATTCTGTCAGCACCCATCAATCTAACACTAAATTTTTTACAGCTTTGTAGAATTTCTGGAGTACAGAGCTATGGACAAGAAAACAGTCAGAATGACACTATGTTGTGCTTTTATTTATTCATCCTGTTTTCTACTCTTCGATTCTTTTTTTGTTTTGTTTTCATTTCTCACTGCCTCTTGTAGATATTGTGAACACTCCCAAACCTGATGAGAGAGCTATCATGACATATGTGTCCTGCTTCTACCATGCTTTTGCTGGAGCAGAGCAGGTATTAATCAACTGTCCCTTCAGGTTGCTGTGTTTTTGATTGGTTGTTTCACATTTCCACTAGTTTATTAAAAAAAAACTAATTTAGTACTTTGTGCTTTAATTAACAATTGCAAGTATTACTTGAGCACTAATACTTGTTTTTAACCAACGCTTGAACTTGTTTTAGTTAAATGTTGTGTAGCAAGTTGAACTTCTTTAATTCCAATGGACATTCCTGTTTCTAATTTTGGGTCTTTATGTGGTGATTCTGAAGACTATTTCAGAAAAACTGTATGTGAAGAAACTGTGAAATGGAGTTGTTGTTTGTTGCTACATCAACATCTTATGCGATTGCTGCATAAAAGAATGTTTGACTTTTGGAGATTGAGACTATTCTAGACTTACTCATGCTGAGTAGTAATTTAGGGCTAGATTTTCAAAAATGCCTAAAGATGCAGAAAGGCACAGAAGACATCCAACACAGTATTTGTGCCTGGTTCCCACTGAAGCCAATGGAATTATTTGCGGATCAAAGTACTAGTATAAGAGGCAAGAACATCAGCAGCAGATCTGTCATACAGGATGGGATTCTCACTTACAAATGTGGCATTTCCCGCTGTTCTGCTTCATACATTTCTAGCCTACAAATGGCCATAACCTAATTTATGTGAAAAAAAATAATAAAGAACTCTTAAAGTAGTTGTTATTTTTCCTTCATCCTGAGGATTTAAATTCCCTTGCTGTCTGGTAGGCCCCTGGCACTTTATCAGAGCACATCTATGCTGTTGCACCCTCTTGCTTCTAGGTATGAAGGGTTTGCTCTTCGTGCAAAAGGGAGATTACACATACTCTGTAACACAGGAGTCTATGCAGATATTCGTTTGATTAGATGTACTCCAGACTCACATTTGTTTGAAAGTATAGATCTGTTATGTCAAGCTATTAATGTAAATTTTAAATATGGCACAGCTACACAGTGCCTTCACAAATAACTTTGGCAGGAGGCATGAAAAGATTTGCTGTCAGTGGTTGAGCTGCTTATATTGTCAAGGCTGTATGTACATATGACAGATATAGAGTGGTCTTGGACTCCTGAATCACACGGGGTGTCTTTCCAGTGTGGCTAACAAATCTAATATTTTTTGGTGTGATTTAAAAAAATTAACCTAATGGGATAACTTTAAGAATGGCCTAAGTCATCTTTGAAAAGAAAAGATTTATTAGACAACTATAATGGCAGTGTGAAATTTCCCCTTGTATAATAAGGCTTCATTGTACAGCAAGGTGACTTCTGTGCTGATCTGTGCCTTATTTAGGCCATTGGAATCTGTGACTACAGAAGGAGGGTAAATATATATCTAAGTAACCTAGGAGGACAAATCAACAACTATAAAACAATGTGATTTTTATTTGCAGCAGCCACATTCTCTCTCTTTCTCCAAGCCTGTACCTTTCTCAAAATGTGCTTCTGAATATGTCCTGTTTATTTGCTGTGTTTTACAGGCTGAGACGGCAGCTAACCGGATCTGTAAGGTGCTTGCTGTGAATCAGGAAAATGAGAGGTTGATGGAAGAGTATGAGAGACTAGCAAGTGAGGTAAAGACAGCTGTATTTTTAACATGGTGATAATTACATTCATGAAATACCGAAAGCTGAGAGATTCGTGTGCTGTCCACAAGATAGCAAAGTAAAGACACTGTGAGGGTAAATCTCACAGTGGCAGGGTACAAAGCTCAGTTGCGCAAGATGTCAATGTTCAGGTGACTCCTTTGCCACAGACTTCCTGTGTGACCTCCAGTAAGTCACTCAGTCTCATTAATGTTCCAAAAAGGGTGTTTTGAGGACTGTCATCGGTCTGCCCCAAGACCAGGTTTGCTGTCTGTAATCTCCAAAGACAGCCATCCTTGACCACATGTGGTACATACATCCTGCAAGCCCGCTGGCTTTGTGTACTGCAAAGCACACCTGGACAGGGTTTCTCAGGGTGTTCACAATGCCCCTGGGAACACAGGCAGCAAATGAATGAAGAAGGGGGCACATTGTGCTCCTCCTGTCCTTTCTTGGTAAATGGCAAATTTGTTGAGTCAGGACTACAGGTGTGTAGTGCACAAGTGAGAGCTCCCTTGTCTTTACTGCATAACCTGCACAAACATTCTGAGATCATAGACACAAAGGCAGTAGTGCTACATTGGCACTAACGAACTTCTGAGTGAAGATTTTTATATTACTTCAGTTACTTGGCTGGTGTCTATCCTGATCTCATGCTTATGACTACCTGAGACATCAAGACCAATACTTTTGAAAGTGGCGAATGATTTTGGGTAACGCAGGTTTTGAGTAATTAGCTAGAGACACCTTATGTGTATGTGTGTTCATCTTTCTGAACATCAGGGTATTTCTAGAAATATGATGAAAAATTATTCTAGAAATCTGCGCAAATTAGTAAAAAAGTATTGATTAGCTTTGAAAATCTTGTGCTTACTTGCCATTAAGGCACTGATACCAACTGAAGTCAATAATATTAAAATGGAGCAAACTTGATTAGGATTTGTGCATTCAATCTGATCTTTTTTTGGTTGCTTTTTCATTGCCTTTATTTCAATTGTTTGTGTTGGTTTGAAAGCTTTTAGAATGGATTCGCCGGACAATTCCTTGGCTGGAAAACAGGACCCCAGAAAAAACAATGCAGGCTATGCAGAAGAAATTAGAGGATTTCCGGGACTACCGCCGGAAACACAAACCTCCCAAAGTCCAAGAGAAATGTCAACTGGAGATCAACTTCAACACCCTGCAGACAAAACTGAGAATCAGCAATCGGCCAGCTTTCATGCCATCAGAGGGAAAAATGGTTTCAGTGAGTAAAGGAGGCATCAATATTCCATTCTCTTTTTTATCAGTGTTCTCACAAAAATTTCGACGTGAAGGATTGAAATGCCATTTTAAGTCATCCTCAGAAACTTTAGTTTGTTGCACTTTATCAATATCAAAC